TACTACCGAATGTATTGGCCCTGCAAGTTAAAGCGAATGTTATAATTATGGAAGTAAGTTGTTTATTGTTTCGATAACTTTTTAGTTTTATGAAATGAACGTAAATCTATATTAAAAAGCCATTTTTTATGGTTGGTAATTGAGAAGAAGGCGTAGAGACATAGCGAATTTGTGCAGTCGTGGTTTTTTTTTGTCAGTTTGAGATATATCCACCTTCTAAGAACCCCTAGATGCAAAATTTTAGACGGCATGTCGGATACGGAAGCGATGAAGTAATATGTTTTTTTTTTGATGATCCATGCGTTACAATTGTCGCCCGTTATCTAGCAAGATAGCTTTTCTTTTTGTGGAATCTTATGCAAAGTAGTACTGCGGTTGACTTTCTTCAGATTTAACGGTAGCTCTAGTTATGGAAATCTATTAACTTTAGACGTTGGAAACTCAGACTAGACCTTATTAGAAATTTCCAGAGGAAGGTTCTTCATGTATCCATGTGTGTTTCAGACTAAACAGGAGGAATGGGGAAGCAGTTACCCGCATAAAGTACCTTGTATAGACCCCAGATCATGCAGGATACGGTTACGCCCTAACCAATGTTTTAATTCAAGTTACAGTATTATCATTTTGATTGAGGTAATTTGTTTTAAAGCGCAGTGTCCGTTCTCTGCATTGAACGCGACGCCAAAAAGGTTCCCGCCGATAAGTGGCCCTAGGAAACAGCAAGTCCTGATTCATAGACAGTTTGATGAGGCGGCTTTTCCGTTATCTTTGATGGGGCCCTCGATTAACTAAATCAACTTAAAAGTGTTAACCGTTGCGAAAACAATTTATTCAATATAACGCTGTATGAGTATGTCCGATTCCTGGCTTTCTCGAGCGATTGTAGATTTGGACCTCTAAGATTGTCTGTGATATAGGTGATCGATCAACTGACCTACAGGTTCGACCCCTGTAGCTAGACCATGTAGAACAACGGAGCAGGAACATGACATAATCCGCACCTCGCATTACCGAATCACAGTGACTAAATGAATGTAATGTACTGTGTGATATAGCTGAACAGAAGATCGTATTGGGTAATGCAGGTTTGACACGATCAAGAAAGACCTCGCCACATTGATCGAAGCAATGTTAAAACAAGCAACAACCCCACCGTTCTCGATGACCAGGTCGTTTTGATTTAGCTAATACCGGTACGAATGGTTTCTTCGAAGAAGCGGTAAGTGCCTAACAATCTATCACGATAGTGTCGATTGAATTTTTTTTTATTCATTGCTTTATTTCTCTCATTTTTACATACATCTTATAATTGTACACTTTATTCCGTTAACGTTTGGTCTTCTTGCCGGCACGAAGGCCCTTTGTCAGTTACATGCGGATCGCTTAGCAGTTCACTAACAAATGTCTGAGCTAAAATCAACCCTTTTCTATATTTCGAGGATACAACAATCCTCAATCAGCTTGATGCCACGTGAAGAAAAAAAAAAGGAAAAAATGATCATTGAAGTGGTCGTGGCGACGAAACAGTTATTAGAGCGCTGGCGTCATAACGTAGATATCCTGAATTTGCTTCGCAAAAAAACAAGCTATGAAACGAAAGGACTGAATGAACTATAATTCCAGTCCAATTTGATCTCGCTGCTTAAATATATATATAATTAAGGATAAATTAAAGTATATGGCGGAAAACTACATTCGAGTTCATTCTCGTCAATTATATAATATGGATAACAAGTTGTTAACCATTAAGGAGAAAGCTGAAAGGATCCATTTCCGTCATATAGTACATACATATAATTCGCTCAGCTTTCGGTGTTAAAAACGCAATTAGGCTTTTTTAATAATAATTTGCGTATTTTTGTAGTAATCGGGAGGTTATTGATACTTAGTAACAAAATAATAGCGGTAAAACCCGTTTACAAACAAGCACTAGGCCTAACATCATCGAGGCATGAGATGCGACAACATGAAGCTTTAACTACTGTTTTCTAATTGTTTTAGGTTTTTTTCTTCTATCATTGGTCCTTTGCCAGCGCCTATTTTAATACCACTTCGATCGACTCGTTATTACTCAGTTCATCACGTTGAATGTGGCCAAGGGCAAATGTGATGACAGTGTGACCTTGCGGAGTTGTTAGCTGAATCGGGAACTTCCGCGTTCAAATGACTCTGCGCGTTTCAGGACAGGTTTATTTATTTAATGCCTAATTATTTATAACTTTGCTAAAGGGTTCACCAGCTTATTCTGAGCGATCGATGCAAACACGCCAGCATAGCCTATCTGTTTGTCATAAAAAGTAGTCCTTGTCGTAACTCAGCTTCGTCTGTTGCTTCAGGTCCGCCACTTAATGATCGTTGTTTTGGCTTCTTCAGTTCCGCGCGTTATTCGCTCATCGGTTGCTTCCCTTCTTTCCTGTGATTGAAATCGCGCAACTCTTATGATCATCGGCTGACCGACGATTTGTTTACTCTGCAGAGCGTCCTTTGACAACGACGTCAAACCAGACGGGAGTAGCGACCGCGTTTATTGAAAATCGTTTTGTATTCGAACCGAAGTAACATTTCACTTCACTTCTTGTTACCTACCGCCCGTTTTTTGCCGCGCCGTTATAGTTGTGGCTTCGATGTTGATTACCTCGCTTTTGTCTTCAGTCAATATTCGTATTGCTTGTAGCATGTGCCACCAGTACTGTCAGCGACCGGGTACGATGGTGATGAAACCTCAATTCGAAAAATTTGGTCTGCTTCCTTTTTGAAAAGCCGCTACCTCCCCGAAGCTCAATTGAGATTTGAGAAGACGCGTAATGCCACCGGGGAAGCAGCTTGAAATGAAAGCGAGAGCTGCGTTACAGTGCCCGCGGCGGTAAATGGCGATGAAGGCGAGCGAATCAGTAAGAAACGAAGGTAACTGTTACGTGTAGAACGTTTCAGTAAAAGAGACAGACTACGAAGCCTTTGTTCTCTGCCTTCGAGGGGTATCGATGTTTGCGTTTATCAGCTTTGCTGCATATCGTAGAATATGTACATTATACATAGCGAAACTGGTGCACGCTAGGTCCAAGGTACCGACAAGAGGATGTAGTACAATGGTACCACAGTCCTCAATACAGGTTGGTCCTCAATGTTCAAGCTGTTAAAAGTTAAAACTTGGCATTCATTGAGGCTCTAGAGAAAATGCAGCGTCTGTATCGAACGAAAAAGATCGATCGTACGTTAAGGTCGACATACGCATTTAATGAACAGTTTAATTTAATTCGCATACCATTTTAGTGTGCTAGATTTCGTTAGGTATTTCAAGGCGGATCTAGGTTCGAATCCGGGCGTAGACACGCGGCTCGTTTTGTACTGGGAGCCAGGCAGCGGTCTGATGGAACGCCTAGCGGCAATGCCCGACGGAAACCCTAATATATAGAGAAAGGCATCTTAAGGAAAAAAAGCATGTCCTTTTTAAGGCACAATAAGTGTTACGTTGTGAGTATTACTTTACATTGATCACAAATAATAGCATATCTAATTAATGGTTCTATCAAGAAATTATCAGCGGGCATTTTCTAATCGTCACTCCAAAATGATGTACTACAGTTTTATGGCACGCCGTACGGCACTAAGAAGTATGTCCTGGTCTATAGAACTTGTTCATTTTATAGATAAAAATCTGGCCTGCAAGTTAGGCTTCCGAGATTTGTATTGCAGTATCTATCATAGGCAACTCATTAGAAATTCTCTCATGCCTTTAAAACGAGCCGGCATCAGAAAACATGCTCAGTAGTCAGGGTCCTGAACGCGAAACTTCGTTTAAAATAACTGGTATGATAATCTGATGGAATAGGTATTGGAAAATATAAAATTGTCAATTGTTGCGTGTTCCGCGACAGAGAATATAGCTGTACACTAGTTACACTGCCAAAAGTAAGTTCAAACTTACTCTAAATACAAATGCTACGCACAATGGACTGGAATTATATTATGTAATTCAAATGAATGAGAAAACGAATCACAAGTAACTAAAATGTATACCTCCAAATGGCCAAGGAAATTATCTGGAACATTTTAGTAATTTTAAATGGGTCATATTCGTAAATTCTCTATTTAATTCGACTTTTCCAGTCCGTTGTGGCGCACACTTTGTATAGTCCGTAAGAGTTCGTTAATTTTTATACCATACGATTTGGCCAAAAAGGGGTTGACTCACTGTATATACACGGCTCTACGATATGCCGTTATATATCGACTACGACCACAAAACTAAGTCAGGAATTAGTTGTCTGTCTCTTTTTTGGCAGTATATCGCTCTAGAGCTCAATATGAGCACCCGTAACACCAATGCTAAGCATGAATAAAGCTCTAGGTAATGTTTGCGTTTTTGAACAAGCATGTCTGATCGGGATAGCAATTATCTGATCATCATGATGATCATTAACGGAGCAGAGGTGCTATTGCCTGTTCAGTTTTATGGCTGGTGATCAGCCAACCTAGGGCTTCACACGTCATCATTTATCCTCATTATAAAAACTAGTCGACTGTGAATAGACGAACGCCAAATCGGTTACGTTTAGTACGAAGCAATCAGCAGGACCCATTTCTGAAGGACGAACAACCAGTGAATGAAAAAAGGCTAGGACCATCGTATTAAACGAAGGTGCAATATGCTAGGCTTCATTATTCGTTAGTTGCGAAGCTCTAATCTCGCATCGGATACCTCGATAAATGTCTGTGTTTGACGTAACACCAAAAAAAAAAAAAAAAAAAAATTTTCACGAATCTCATCCTGTTCACGTTCGTCTGAACTTTATCACTGTAAATGCGTTGAGATTGGAACTTGTCTTCCACGCATTTTTACGTCCGCGGCAGAGACCCGCATCTTGTTCAGTAACTCAGTGACTAATACTATAGGCCAGCTGTCTCCACTTCGCAATTAAAAAACTTAGGTACCGGCTGTTAAGTTTTCCACAAAAGGCTACATTACGTCCAGTTACATAGTACTAAAAACAGTGTTTCAAGGCAAAACCTACGCTCAGTTCAGGTACTTAAATCCTCTATAGCGGTTCCGGAGGATGGACACCACCACTTTAACCGAAGAGGCAAACATTGAACTCGGTTAACACAGCAGACTTATCGGTTACCCCACACGCAAACTACAAGTAAAAACCTATACAGTAATATGTATTGGAACATTTATTCAGTAGCTAGTTATTACAAGGGGCACGTCGTCAGCGGAGATCCAATGGACATTCATGTAATCCGATGAGCAGGCTGCATAGCAAGTTTCCTTCCATAAAAAGCCAACCAAAGTACATTTTGTTGAACGCGATTCTCAATTCTAGATATTAAATTGGGCAAACATAACAACTTCCAAGAAGTTTTTCTCCTCGTCGGTACGCGATAAGAAAACAAAAGCAATGTGTTCCCTCCAACCATACCCGAAGAACACGTAGAACTTCCAAAGCCATGGTATCGCCATAGGAGGGCATGGCTAAATATCTGGACCTGTTCCTTCAGAAATTGTTAGCTATACCGAATGTCTGTTTACATTGTGAACGGTCTGACTAGCAGAAAATGTTCTAACGATTGTTTGGCACCAGTTATTTACAGAACTTGCGGATTCGAATTTTCTGCACTATGAGTTTCCTATTTGTGTGAATAGTTAAGATGCATCACGTTAAAATATCGCTTGTCGCTAGTTAAATTACTAATTGCCTAGTATTGAGGAGCAATTCTGCATAATTTCTAGTACTAGTGTGAGTCAGCTAACTGCTCTAGGGCTTCGTGGTGGTTGGTAGCTCTGTAACCCCCTCGGAGCATCGTGTTCCTGTAGCATTTTGACTAGAACCATCTTCTTCTAGATCAACTTGTAGAGGACTTGAAGATCGGCTATCACGTGACGCTAACGTATTTTTTGCCTCTTTGGCGTCATTTTCCGTTTCCAGGTCTCTCCGTAAGTTTTCCGACTTTTGAATGTTGGTAGGCGGTGACGAGTTTTGACGAGGACTTTTTATTGTTCTTGTTGCAGATATAGGAAATGCCGTAGTTGCCTGCATGGCCTGAAGCCACGATTGTAGACCTGAATTGGTATAAAGAGTAGGTAGTGTCGGAGGTAAGAACGGATTAAACGCTGAGTGAAGGCCTGGAAGACCATTGAGGCCAGAATATACAGTAGAAAGACTAGACAATATAGAGGTAGATGGCAGCAGCGTTGGCATAGCTGAAGGCACCGAAATCGCAGGGATTCCCGATACGGAAGACATCGGAGACACAGTCGGTGGGATTGTCATGCCGGCCGGAATTGTCATAGCGGTAATGGGTGTTGTCTGAAGATACGGCCGAAATGTTAATTGATTCTGTTTCTCAGGCTTCCGATCACTCGAGGCTGCTGTCAGTGTAGAGACTCCGTGACCGCTAAGTTTGCCTGCTATATTAGGCAGGCTAGAATCCGAAACAGGTACCCCAGGTTGGGCTCCAGCGGTCGATGAAAGCTGATGATGAAAGGATGGTCTTGTGAATACGGGGGTTGCCGGCACACTCGGCCTTGTTGGCGCTAAGCTTTGAGCCAATGGGAAATCGTTTGCCGCAACTGACGGAGGTGAGGACCTGCTTCCAGATGATTTCTCCTGTTTTCGCCATTTGGCTCGGCGATTCTGGAACCAGACCTGAACTCGAGCTTCGGTGAGGTCTACACGCATCGCCAGCTCCTCCCTAAAATGACAACAAAAATCGGTACGTGAACGCAGGCGAAATTCACGGACATATATCTATATTACAGCCTACTAAAATCACACTCAGATCTAATTAAAGCTTTTTCAATTAATTAAAGAGTGTTCAAATTAAAGCTTTTTTATTTACTAGGAAAACATAAAAACAACGTTCATTTTTCTCCGATTTCTACTCCTGTCTCGTCCTCAACGTCAAGAAATAGAAATACTTTTCCTGCTTTATGATTCGAACACCTGGGATTATTACCTTTAATCCCCGCAGTTTTCACCGAAGGTTAAATTTATCTGACATTATTTAATAAACACTGATGCGTCATGTTGCTATCCATGAGGCTGGCATCGAACGTACAATACAGCCCTATAGTCGCGTTCTTGGCTTGAGCGGATTGCATGATGCATACCGTGGGAGTAGTAGGGTCATAAAGAAGTTCTGTGGACTAAAAGGTAACTGTGATGATTCATGGTACTCAATACTTTTTGGCGTCCATTAGGAAATGCTTTTTTCACTAATATTCTGATTATATCTTAGGCCTTTCAGCCTTCACGTGTTCGGAATATAGGCGGAGATTTTCAGATAAAGGGCCATGCATCATTGTGGGACGCGTCGCAGATCACGGAACTAAATCTAGAATCAAGACAAATGTTTTTAAAGATTGGCTTCATAGATTTCGCAGGGAAGCGCTGCCAGAGTGGTACAATAAAGCTACGATCAAGAGAGAAGCAAAGTACAGCCTTCCAAAGCCAAAATGATCATACTTATATGCATTTACGATCCACGAATTTGTCATTGCTGAGATTTTCCTCTTAAGTCTAGACAAAGTTTATACCTATGGCACGTTTGGTCCTATTCAGGTCCCTAAAATCTTTTACAATAGCCTCTGCTCGGCAAATTTCGTCAACACGTCTATGCTCATTTACCCATTGTATGAGATTATACAAAACAGAATTCATAGTTCAATGAATCTTTAACGCATGACAGTTGAACACCTTGAAGGAGCGCTGGTGATTTTTAGTTAAGAAAGGAGGGGTACACTAATGGCTCGGTCACGCTTTTTCTCACTTCATCTGGTGTGAAACCCCAGCAAACGAGGTTCAGCTCGCAAGGACTCGCTACTTCTGAAGGACAGCGTAAATTTAGTCCCTTTATATCGAACACCAGAATGAGGTGCCAATTCGCTCGCTCTATGTAGACAACTTTTTGCGAAGATAATATCACAAATTAATCGATAGACGCACTCGGCCACAGCTCTTCGTGGCCTATTAGATCGACGATCCTATCTGCCAGGCAATATATTAAGTGTCAATTACCGTGTGACCCAACTAACAAAAATTATCCACGACAATAATTAACTTTTAGAGAAATAATTTGAATAGCCGGTGAACGGCCTATAGAAAAACGTGCAGGCCCAACGAACGTGCGGCAAATATCCAGGGTTCTGCACGAATGAATGCATTTTTATACCTGAAATTAAGTATGTTACTACTGTTATTATTATTTTTACCAACATAACTGCGTCGTAGTCAGTAAATATTTACCCGAATTTATGTTCCTCAAGCCGCATCGTGTCTCGGTTAAAAGCAAGTCTTCAAATTAGCAATTTCGTACATTTTCAACCAAGGCAAGCTGAACCATTTGCCAAAATAAAAGAAATAATCTTCTTCTTCTTCTAAAAAAACCAAGCCATCTAATTCTTTAGCTCAGATTTTTGCGTGCACCGCCCTTCCTAATAGGTTATCGCTATATAAATAATAGAGAGAAAATAATAATTAGGCAGTGCGCGTTTTCATTGTTTTGCAATTTTTTCAACTGATATTAGGCATATCATAGCATCGTTGTGCTTTTTTCAATCGTTTTTACCAATATGAATATTCTTTGCCCTGTAGATAGCTCCGAATGTGGTCGACTCTGCTTTTTTTTTTACCTGTGGTGGCAATTTTGCGGTTGTGGGCTGATTGATGGACGACGAAGTCTGACATGCATTGTACATACAGCTATCTACAGTAGTTTAGATGAATATCAGTAACCAAAACTCTAGTGGCATCAGATGAAGATGAAGCACAGAAAGTTATTGGAAAACGGGTTGGTACCGGTCATTTTGTACGATTTTAAAAATCAAACAGTCATATGCAAGGGTCAGGTAAAGGGGATTGATTCCAAGTTCGACGTAGGTCTTCAAGTGAGGACGCTATTTGCTCATCCAGAACGCTTATTCAGGTTCAGACACGTGCCTGAACCTAAGATGAACAAGGAGCGTGCGTACAAAATCGCCTATTCCATCTTATTTTATCAAAAGCCGTTTTTCTAAAACTGATTTTTTTTTTAAGAAACGTTCTTTATGCGAAATTATACTCAAGCAAACCACTACGCCCTCTAACAACGGTCATGGGCAACAATCAACATATATCTGTTCTTTCGGCAGGAACGCCATGCTCATATGTTTTATGGCGAACCCAAGTAACTTTATTAGAAGTCTGGACTATAGTTAACATTTGCATATAAAAACACGATACGCTGTTTACGGATTTTAGATTTGAAGCTTCGGTAAGGTTAAGGTATCAGTTGCCCAATGTACCGAATCTGGGCTAGAAAACGCTGCTAACTACGGAGAGCAATGCCGAGTCAAAATTAAATTATGCCCACATGGGTGACACATACCTAATAACACTGTATGTGCTTTGCTAGCGGTACTAGCGATAGTAATAGCGCTACGATGGCACGTAATTAACGATTTTATTTCTTGGTTTTACTACCAGCTACAAAAGCCGTTTCACTTGACCTTAAAGTTCATTTCAACTTCAGAGTTTGTAAATTAAAAAAATCTTTGACATGTTTATTAAATCTAGTTGTATTTATGGCAGGAAAATTGAAAAAAAAACCAATATCTCTGCAAGTATCTTGATTCAGCGACGTGCCGAAAGCAGTTTAAAACTTATACGAACAGTAAAATGTGTTATCATTTTGGATATTTAGTGATAAATGGGCTGATTATATCATGACAAAAAAGATGGATGTTAACATACTATCTATTCAGATTTAAAATCACGCTAAATTTCATAATGAATTTAGATAAGGCGGCCTATAGCGAATAAGGTAAATATAAATCAATGCAGCAGTATTTTCCTTATTGGATTCTTTGATATTCAGAGCCGTCGCAGGCCCCCAGATCAGAAACGAACTTCAAAGAAAGGAAAAGCATCGGGCTGGATCCTGGTCTTGTTGCACGCACTATAACAGCGGTTTACTTGCAGCACAAGTGGGCTTTATGCTGGATAGAAAAATATTTTTAGTTTTGAACTAGAATTTTTCTTTATTTAGTACTCTCTTCTGTTATCATCACTGAGCCAACTGATTATTAGTCAAGAAAAACAACGAAGTCACCAGTCAAAACGTGTGCAGATCACATTATTATTAATTTATGAACAAGGAAAAATTTTAGTGTAATATGCCTGGGATGGGTTATCTAGGTTGCGTTTACGTTTTTGCCACTGTATGGCCAGTAATTCGAAATCGTTCCGTCACATCCTAACTAATTTATAAAACGGTAGAATAGTATTAACAGTTCAATGATCCTATGTACGAGGCCCATTCGAGGCATGTTAAACACATGAAGGTGTTTCTGCAAAGAGAACCATAGAAATTTCGAGGGTATATTATAACGTCACGTAGACATTAACTTACTTAACGAACCAGGAAACTTTTTTCATGTTAGCCTAGTCTACTTGGAAGCCCTGTTTTCAGGCTATACAAACGTATATATTTACCATAGCAATGTAATTTTCTACTGTACCTTGTGAATACGTCAGGGTAGTGTGTTCTAGCAAACGCCTTTTCTAGTTCTTCAAGCTGGAAACTTGTAAACGTTGTCCTGTAGCGTCTTTGTTTTCTTCGAGGATAGTCGCGCAGCTCTCGGTTATCCTGTAGTAGGCCGAAGTCTTGGCTTGTTGGAGATCCCGAACCGCAACGATCTGACTCGATAAAGCATCCGGTTTCAGGTGTGCCCTTAGGACAACTGGAAGTTCCGTCACTTCTGCACTCAACTTCCACTTCGTCGTTAAGAACCGTAGCGGGACGTATCAGAGCACTCACGGAGGCGACCATAACATCGGCTGAAGTGTAATAAAATTCACAAAAATATAATAGAATCAACTCAAAATACAGCTTAATTTCTTTGCGCTTTTCTAATTTCGATAAAAGCATTTTTAAAAATCGGAATAAAAAGTAAACGGCCATGATCCTTTTACAGTAGAGAGCTGTTTAAGGAGCACAAGACGTACAGTTGTACACGTGTACAAGCGTTTTGGTCGTTTCGAATTGGAGGGCTTCAAATGAAGGAAGCTGCCTAACTTTGAATAACGATATTTATTAGCATCGTGTTTCAAACCTAAAAGGAGAATACTGATAAATAAGGGAAACAATTGGTAGTCGTCATAAAAGCAGTTAGGTTATACATTATGAAAAAACAATATAACTAAACTTCACAAGTGAAGGAAACTCTAAAAAACAAGCCTATTTTGATCTACAAAGGTTATGTCATACTTTGCATCACACCGTTGCGCCGCCTACAATGTGGCGCACTGCAGTTTATTAATTAAGCAAATAAATATTTCGTAAAGAAAAATAGATATTTCGTGAGGCAATCGTCTATGTGTACTACTGTAAATTTTAGAAAGAACCTCAGTGAACGTGCACGATTATATAATCGGTACTTGTCTCATCGGAGAGGTGTTGACAAGACTAAAGATTTGTTTTTTTTTTGCCTTCGATAAATTTCGACTAAATCAAGCTGGTAGTATTCATCTGGCGTCAACTGAAGAGGATCAAGCGAGATCGATCACTGCTGAGGACCAAAAGAACTTACATTTTGGTAATGATAACACTACCTCGATCTTTATCGTTATAATCACTAGTAAACAAAATAGTAGTTGTCGCTGTTAGTCAGCCAACGCTTATTAATCTAGATAAGAACTCACTCAGTAAATTGAACTCTGGGTTCCCGTTCCGCAATTATCAGTAGTTACTGAATGTTTGCCTTGTTTCTGTGCGAGATAATGCCAATGGCAACACATCTAACGAGACTGCCACCATTTTGAAAAAACAGACCGACGATCGTGAGCTGCTAAAGTGAATCCCTGGGGTTTGACCCACCCAATTTATTTGAAATCAGCTCGTCATATCAATTTATAATGCAGCTAGGTTTGATCAATCAACGCTCGATCCGGCACCAGCACTTCTCTCGGAATACGCTTGCCGTAAAAGCTACGCGGCGCGTTGAAAGACATTTATAGTACTCTTTGTTGATTATTATTGATTGTTTTAGAGGTTACTAGGTATAAGTAGCTGCGTAAAGAGCAGCCGGGTGCCCTAAATGATCACAATTAACACTTGCAATCTTTTTTGTATCGTTTGACTAGTCATAGCTCTTTATTAGAGTTTTGATTCAGGCAAGATCGCATTTGGAGATATTAAATGAAAACATCGAAGCTTAGACATCTTCTCAATGGGTAGGCAAGGTAGCATATGTAAATATCTCTCCGTGAAGTAAAACGATGTTTATATAATTCAAGAGATATCTACTCAGCTAAGCCCTATAAAAGAAAAACTCATAATAACAAATATATATCACATGGCTACAGGTTGCCTGAAGCTACGGAAATTGATACGTATCGAGGATTAACTTTTGGTGACTGTTTTACGTTGAGTTTGCAGAGGCCTTTTTACCTGTCACCGAAATCCATCTTTTAACTATGACTGTGTTTTACCTTAATCGTTAGGCCATAGCTCTGTCGCACCCAGTGCATATTTACTCGAAGCCTCAAAGGTCTATCTATGTTTACCAAAAGGCTGTGTTGATTCTAAGGTGTTTGATAATCGTTGACATACGTGCGTGAGATCTTCTAGTAACCAGTGTTGTCCTATGAGCAGCGCTATATGCGATAACTTTAGGCCTATTTCATCATAATTTAAGCTTTATGACGTTGAAGTTTTCGTCCGAATCGCATGGACAAGCCATATAGATGGCTTGCCAAATCGAACGCTTCATCTTAACATTAAAATGTTGACGCTTTTATCTAAATGCCGTAATAGTTATTGGATATTATCAAATATTATAGTTGCGTAACATTAAGTTACTTCTTTCAAAACCTTCATGCCCTGGGACGGCGCAATTAATAGAACCTGGGACAAGTAACAAGTTAATTGTTACACATTTTTATGATGACTGATCAATGTTATCATTGTATTCATTCTCATTGAAGGCACCCGTTTACGAGCACACTTTCTGTATGTCGTCTTTTATACGACAAGCAAAATAACATATACACGTTGAAGTTGGGCTCATGTGAAACCCATTTCGAATACGTTATCTGCTCGAATCAGGCTTATGCGGGGTGCTTCTTGCAGTGATGCCTAATTCATACACCTCGTTGGTCCTGTTCTTTATGCTTGATCCATGCCTCTTGCCGAAATTCAGTTTTCTATGTCTTTTCCTTTTTCGTCTTATTATTACTATTGATCTCACCTAGGATTAGAAGCTCTTAAGAATAAAAAGGCCACTTATTAGAAGGCCACAATAAAGACTAAATAAAACGAGAGCAATTTTTCCCTAGGTTATATATAAACTAAAAGGCCGCCTTGTTAAATGCACGTACGTACAAACCGGTTTTCGAATGATAAACGAGTGCGCATTTGTTATATCATGTAATACTTAACGTACCCTCTTGGATTCTCAATACAATAGCTTAGAAATACGTACTATTCAATATGTTGTACAAACTTTAACTTAGAGGTCATCTTTATGACGGAAATTCCCCTGTCGATATTGGGCGCCACAAGTGGGAAATAGACTTCCCATTGACGAAAGGTTTGCTGCGAAAAAACAACAGTGCGATCTGCTTTGAGGTATAAATTTTGTCTTTCATCGGACGAACCTCTAATTCGCTAGCAGGCGGAATTGACTGAGTTCCGCTCGTAATAACAGGCCGATGCCTAAAGTGAACCCGTCCCAAAAGTGAAATCCCTACTTAGACCAACGGTCCTGGTCGTCCTAATGGCCTGACAGAATAGTCACGATTAGGAGAAGTATTATAGAGAATGGTCAGATAAGGTTTAGTATCTCATTTTGAAGACAAACATCGCATCAGTGAATACGTTCCCGCTACAAAATGACTCCATTTATTCGAATAAATGAGATATTTATGCAAAAATTCATTAGCCTATACCGGAAGATTCAAAGGACAGCTCACTTGGTGTCTACCTACTATTGTGACAGTAACAATTGGCATCGTTTGGGGCTGATCTGTCGAGATCATACAACGGCGTAATAGTAGTTCTCGAATGTCCTGCGACTGTTGAATTTGTTGGGTGCTCACTAACAGCATGAGGTATAGGTATTGTTCGAAACGACAGTGGTCCTAGTCACGCGATACTTTAAACAAATAGCTCAAGTTAAATTAAAACTGAAATTGAAACTTCCTGTAAAAGTTAATTTTTTGTATCCATTGCAGCGAACGAGTGATTTACCTAGTCATGAAATAGATGGAATGCCAATAAACTTAGTGGGATAGTTACGGCAGTTTTATTGTAAGTTTCGCGTTATTTACCTAGACTGACATAGTTTATATTGTCCTTCGAAAAATAAAGGTTCCTTCTTTTCCAGATTCGGCCTGTTTGTCCACCTTTCAACCCGAGCTTCAAATTGCCCAAAAAAAAAATATACATTGCAAAAACGAACGGCTCACTAGCAGAAAGCGCGTGAAATTTTCTTTTCTATGTATGCTAGTAATCTTTTTAATGAAAAATATTTCCATAATGTATTTTACACAAAAAACAGTTAAGCTTCGGCACACACGTTTTTTTTTTATCGGATGCGATTTGCGGCTTGACGGGAAATTTTCAAGCACTACGTTTTCTTCTTGTAAGCTCCAATGCTCTGATTTGTCCATGTCGATGACCCTATAGCCTCACAAAATGGAATTATGTGGTCTACTAATGACTTATTACGAAGGGGTCGGTTCCTTTACCAAAACTGGGGGAAAAATGCCTGCTTTTTAAGTTGGCGCCGTACTATCATCAAAGGGGACGATGCTAGATAGCCATTGACTACCGAAATAGTTCGGTTAACGTTCGTGCTTCGTTCACTAGAGATCCTTATGGGGTTTTGCTGTACAATGCCAAGCTAGATTTTGAATGGTCCAAATAGAGGTATATCCACCAATCGCATTTTGTATAAGGCATCAAAAGACATTGTCACAATGTGTGCGCCATTTTCCAAGACCCACTGAAGCCAATCGTTGTAAAAAATCCATGGTTAATTATAGTAACCGAAAATTATGATTATCAGAAATGTGACGTTTTGGTTTACGTTGACGCGTATATATATATATATATATATATATAGACGTAAACTTCATTAAGAAATTCTTAAGTACAATACCATATCAATCTGCATGTGGCCAATCAGACCAGCAGCGGGCGCCTTCTGGTTCCAAGAAGACGACGCTCCCGTCTACTCCGAATAGCCGCCATTTTGCCGTTAGAGTGAACGGTATTAAGTTAATTCGCTTATTTTTTATATCAAGCGAGCGATCGATGGCATCCGGTTTGATGATCCGGTACGGCCATATAGATAGCCTTTAGAATAATCATACAACGTACATACATGCAATGAATTCTATAAAACCCAATTTGATTTCGCTCTGGTACAAAAGAAGTATGCTACAAAATGGCGGCTGTATAATTCTAGAAGGGTTCGATAGGATGCGAAAAGAAACGTTATATGTCTTCAATTTTTTTCAAATTCAGTCAAAGAAGGAGTAATTAATAGCACCGAATTTCTGACCCGTAGATATCTAAAAAAAGAGAGGTCTGATTTTTAAAGCCAATTATATTTAGATAAAGGCAGAGTGGTCTATATAATCCAGACTCCATACGGTCTGCTATACATACTTGACCGATGACAACTTTAAGGTTTACTCCACTTTTTTTCTTCATGTCGTCTTTAATTCAGCTTGTGCAAGATGATCAATTTTCAAAAAATCAGATGATAGACATTATATTCATGTCACCAGATATCGTTTCTATGCTAACATACGCCAATAGGGTAGATTGC